AATTGGAAACAAACCTCGTGTAGGGTTTTGATTTGGGGTTTAGGGTTTAAGTTTCATTCAATTACAAATTACAAATTACAAAATACAAAAACTCAGTTCTTCCCTCGCTCCCTGAATTCGTTTGTTTTGAAATTCACTTCCAATAATAATGAGAATTGGAGTAAGAGCGGTGTAATTTGTGTAATAAAATTCTATAAGAAATTTTACATTTTTACAAGAGAGGATGAAGAAATTAATGTGATTAGAAGATAAAAAGAAAAACTATCTCGCTAATAATTCAATTACTTCGTTAATGTTTTACATTAAAATTTAATAATATAATTTTTAAATAAAAATTTATTAATATACAGTAATTGTTAAATTAAAAAAATTAATATATAAATAAACTTACAATTTTATAAATAAAAAAACACTTTATATAATATCTTGTTATATAAATTTAAATAAACACATAAGATATTTTCAATAAAATGAAATAAATAGTGAAAATAAAAAATAATAGTGGCAAGTTGTTGGTTACCACCGAAAAATATATATACTTATTGAAATTATAATTATAATTACAATAAAAATATTTGAATATATTATCATGTATATTATTTAAACTTTTATTCCTGTTGATTCTAGAAGTGAGTTGTATTATCTAGTATTGATATTTATGTGATAAATGAAAGGTTTTTATATTAAACAAAATTTATAATAAATACTTAATAAATTTTATATTTTTATAAACAATAATTTTTAATGAAGAGGATTCAAATTTTATTACATCTTTTAATAATTTTATATTAAATATGAATTTTGTAACGACCCGTCATATATACTTAGAAGAATCGCGCTAACAATACTAATTATTTAATACAGAATATTAAACTGGATAACAGAATATACACATAAAGGAAATGATAAAAGAAATAAAATATTTATATACAATTGAGTTAGGCCTTCTCTTTAAGATGTGATGGCTCGTGTGAAGAGTAACTTAGGCTTAGAGAGCCTACTAACTTTCAAGTTAATCATTCATTCTTGTATGCTCATAACCATAGCTCAGGTGATTGAGCCCTTGATCCATGGTCCTTCAACATATATCATTACTTTATAACAAACTGAATTTTTATTTCTTTGTGCAATTTTGCATATATTAATGAACATTAAATATTTACTTTCAAAACATTTCTTTTTTACTCAATTAATTAGGCTTTAAAAAACACAATTATCTCATCGTAATTAGTTTTTTGTTTTTATTTTTATTTTAATTATACTTTTTTGAAACATATAATGAATGAAGTAATAATATAATTCAATTGGTCAAAAATTACAATAATATAATAACATATTGCTGCAATATTATAGATAGATATTCATTAATGTTATTCATCAATGTTAGAGTGAAACAAAAATGTAAGTAGAAGGTGATTGAAGACTGAACAATAATAATGGACCAAAATGATATTAATAATTTTAAAAAAAATGAAATGATATATCAAAATGATGTCTTTTTACTGTCACAATACATCTTATATGATGCTTATAATGTATTACATTAATATTTTTGTAAATAACAATTTTGTTATTTTTAGAAACAGGCTTAATGCAATTCATTCATAATCTATTGAAATATATAATGAGAAATATAGTTGAAATCATGCGGACCAATATAAGAATTAGTTGCTTTTGCCAAAAGATGGGAAATCAAATTCGCTTTTCTGTTAACAAATTTGATCTTACAGTTATCTAGAAAAAGTTTTAGGATTACACATGTCAATGATGGAATCAAATTCAATAAGATTAATTTAATTATAGTTAATACTTTAAGCTGGCCTTAAAGGAAATTGAATCCAACTAAAGAACTGAGACCCATTCAAGGGCTTAAAGAATAGCATATGCTTCGCATTCATGAGGCTTAAGCAAAAACGGATAGAGGTTAGTCTTGGTCCTCATAAAAGAGCAATCTGAATTACAAAGACAGAAACCAACTCCAAATGAATCCTTAGTAGTAAATAGAGTTACATTTGCGTTGCACTTAAGCTCATCGCTTTGGGTGAATCCACTTAGAGATATAAGGTTGTTTGATGATTTGTTGGGACAATGATTTGTGGTTGCGTGCCTAACTCCAATCAACAAGAGTGTTTTCGGCTCTCAACTTTATTTGTTGTGGGTTCCAAGGAGCATTCTCCCAGAGCTTCTTATTTTTGCTTGTCCAAATACTCAAAAGCTAGCATGACAAATTCAGTAACTTTGTGAAGGCTCCAATTATGCAAAACAGAGAAAATTAGATCCTTTAGACTATCCATTTTATTAAAAAGTAGGAGTAACTGCTATCTAACAAAATTGAAGTTCCAACACTATTGTGTGAAGGAACAACCAGGGTGTGCCAAGAGTTCTCATGTTGATCATCACAAACAACACATGTGTTCAAACATGGCACACCTCTTGATTAGAGATTTAGCTTGGTGGAAAGACAATCTTTACAGGACTACCAAAGGAAGTCTTTAACTTTGGCCAAAATGTTGAGCTTCCACAACTCTTTCCACACACCAATAGCATGCAAATGGCCATAGTTTAATACATGATGCATGCATCCATGATAGACAGATTTAATAGTAAAACGATCATCTCTACACCATTTCCATATTTGTTGACTTGTAATAAAATCATCAATCAGAGGGATACTGAGGATAAGAACATAATCTTCTTCATCAAAAATGTCTTTAATAGTATCAATTTTTCAACTATGATTATCAGGATCAATGAGACCATTTAATTTCATGTCAAATAGATAAGGGATAATAGGCGAGCTAATCATATTACTATCTCTTAATCAAGGTTCACTCCAAACAAGAATATATTTTCCGGATTCGACTCTCCGACAAAGGTCATCAATAAAAAAAAAATACCGACTTATGTTTTTATGATTATCCGTTAATTTGAATTAATGAAACAAAATATTAAATAATTTTTATTTTTTTTTAAAATTTATAAATTTAATTTATGCATTAAGAACTTTAAATTTAACGGTTTGATCATTGAAATTTAATATAAAACATGAGTTATTAAATGAATCAAGTTTTGGTAAATTTACTCTTAGTGTAAACAAATTCCTCATCCTCATATATATATATATATATATATATAATGTGATACATGATATACCATGTCAACATTTACGTAAATATCAAAATATCAACTTATGTTAATTAATAAAAATCTAAATTGATAAATGAATTAAAAGTTCAAGATCTCAAAAAAAAATTTATTTTTAGAAATTGAAATAACTTATTTATAACTTTTTAAGGTACTGTATATTTTATATTTTATAATTAAAACTAAACACTATATCATTTTATTAGATAATGAAAAAATGTATCATTTCATTGAATATAAAAAGAAAAAAAAATTAGCAAAACACTTTTCAAGTATATTTTTTTATTAATTAAAATTTATTAAATAATACAAAATTTAGTAAAACACCTTATTAAATGAAATTTTCAACTAATTTTATGATTTTCATTACATTTTAACTAATGATAAAAAATTTATAACTTATAGATAGGTATGTTAAAAGAGTGTGATAAAAATTATATTGTTACGTAGTATTTAAAAAAAAAAAAAAGCTATTGTCTAATAATTAACAATCATTAATTTTTAATGTCCCAAACCGTAGTTAAATAATGGGGCCCATTTTAAAAGCACTCGTCCATATAATGACAGTTTTCTAGAAGATAAAAAAATGTTTGCGACATTTATAACTTGAAAGCCACTATGTCATGTACATAAAATTTTATATTTAAGGCCTATTTTTTTTTTAAATAATTATTTAGCCAGTTAAAAATGAAGTTTTTAACTTTTTATGTGTGTAAATCAACATTTAATATTTATAAATTTATTTAGAATTTAGCAGTATTCATTTTGTTTCTGTCAATTATTATTATATTTCTTTGATCTTCTTAAAAATTGGTCTCTGTAAGACGAAAAAGCAACAAAGTTTTTCATCTTATGAAATTGAATTTTTTGTTTTTAAAAGACTAAAAGCTAAAGACATGCAATTTTCGAAAATGTTATTTAAGAAAAAAAGTGTTTTCTTTTAAATTTAAAACAAAAATGGCAAAATGTTAAAATAAAAAACTGTTTAAAAAAAAGGTGTTTCCCATAAAATAAAAAATAAAATAAAAAAAGTTGTTTGTAACATTCTTGGACCTTGGTTGGAGGATGAAGCTTAGGAAACGTTTCGTAATGAAATGAACATCTGATTGTGTTTGAGGTCCAACGATGTTCCACCGTGGCTAGTTGCCAACACCTCTGTTCTTATCTGAATCTGCCATTAATATATTACTTCCTTTACCATTTTTATATTAATATTTTGTTTTCTTCTTTGTACCAAAAACACGAATTATTATCATCAGCGAACTGAGAAAGCAATAATCCATCGATCCATTTTCATTTTTCAAGTGTGACCCATCTTTGTTGCTTCCACCATGCATAGGATCAACACTGCAAGGTCCATTTTTTCTGCGGTTTTCAGAACCAAATCTCAGCGCCACTCTGCTGCTTTCTCCACCTCCTTGCTCTTCGACGAAACTCAGATACAGGTTCTTCTACCCACCATTCTTTGTTTCAAACTTTAGTCAAAGTGTTTGACATTTTTTTATTTTATTTTTTTGGAAAAAGAGTCATATTTGCATCAATGGGTAGCCAAGCACAGCTTTAATTATTTGGCTCTGCATTTTTTTGTAAAAGTTGAGCTATGCTATGAATGTAATGATTGGAAGGTTTTATTGCATGGTTCAGTTTAAAGAAAGTGTTGCTCAGTTTGCCACGGAAAATATTGCCCCTCATGCTTCAAAAATAGACCACACGAATTATTTCCCAAAGGTGTGTATAGGGATATGGTTTTATCATGTCCATGAACATAACTCATAGTATGTTGCACATTCTGATTACATTTTGATGTAACTATAGGAGGTGAACTTATGGAAAAGCATGGGAGAATTTAATCTCCTTGGGATTACTGCACCAGGTAGTCTATTTTCCCTGCTTCACTGCTTCCATTTTTTGATATGTAAAAGCAAATAAAAGACCCCTTTCAGATTTGTTATTTGTTAGTTTTATCTACTATTGTGACTTCCATTAGACAGTTGTTATTCTCCCTGTAGACCGTGTGATATGATTGTGAAGATAATAAATGCTAACAAAGCACAATTCATTCTGATGCACATTATTTTCAATCACTGAAAAAAGGTGTTTGATTTACCTCTCCCCAGAGAAAGGTTAGGTACCTTATACTAATTCATTTTGCAGGCTTTCATTTATTCAGAAATCACCATTCTTCAATAAATGGAGTCATATGGATAAGAGCATCATTTTTTTTTTTAATTCTCCTTCTTAGGGTGTGGTCAACTTAAGATAAATATACTTGGAATCTTTACAATATGGTCATGTGTTGTAATGCCAACAAACATTTCCAATTCTATTTCTGCATGTTTGCAGAGGAATATGGAGGGCTTGGCCTAGGTTACTTGTATCACTGTATAGCAATGGAAGAGATTAGCCGTGCTTCAGGATCTGTCGGTCTTTCTTATGGTGCTCATTCAAACTTGTGTATCAATCAGCTGGTAATTGAAGAGAACTTAAGTATCTCTCATTCTTTGCTTTATGATCTTCCAATTCCAATGAATCTTCAGATTTGCTAATTTCTGTTTTGTTTAGGTGAGGAATGGAAACCCTGCTCAGAAACAGAAATATTTGCCTAAGGTTCCAGTTCTGTGAAGTTTAATCTTAATTATTTTCTGTGAAATTTTTCTGCCTTGCTCTCTTGCTGATGATGTGTAAAGTATCAACTTTATCAGCAAAAAATGCTCATAGCTTTTCACCCATTTCTTGTGCTAATTAATAGTCTTTCTCAACTTTTCTGGTTCAATATATCTATCTATTTATAGGCTAAGTTGTTTTTTTTCTCTTCAATTTTGAAGCTTATCTCTGGAGATCACGTGGGAGCTTTGGCAATGAGTGAGCCCAATTGTAAGATATGTGAAATTGAACAGTAATATTTTGCATTTCTAGATATTCCAAGGACTTTACAAAGTGAATTGAACTTTTCTGCAGCTGGTTCTGATGTTGTCAGCATGAAATGCAAGGCTGATCGAGTTGATGGGGGCTATGTACTTAATGGGAACAAGATGTGGTGTACTAATGGGCCAGTTGCTCAAACATTAGTATGTTTCTTAAAATTTCATTGTATTTTCCCATGCTCTTGCGTTGACCTTATTCTTGTATGATCTGCCTTTAGAAAATTAAAATGACAATGTTTCCTTAATTTTTTATTTTAATTGATCATTTTTCCATGCAACAACATATCATTATCATGATTTGAGGACCTGATTGCAAAATTATAAGATCAGCTATATGGGTCATACAATGCTAACATATTTATCATACTTCTTGGGTTAAGTAAACCTTCGGAATTGATATTTTATAATTAATGTGGATAGCATATTTTTCTATTTTATATTTGGCAGATCTAAGAGGGTTAATTTTTGTGATCTTGACTAGTTTCTTTTCCTATAGCTTATACAGGGAAACCGGATGCTCATTTAATGTAAAACTAGATCTTACAGTCAAGGCATACACTGAGAATGTGTAGCACTTATTTGATTGTGTTGAATTGAATCAGGTTGTATATGCAAAAACAGATATAACTGCTGGGTCAAAAGGAATTACTGCATTCATCATCGAGAAGGGAATGCCTGGGTACTTGTTCTGAGCCTTGACAAGTTATATGATAAGTGGACAAACCTCTGCATTCCAACTTAGTTAATTCTTAGGCAATAATGTGACCACTTGGTACAGTCAATCAAACCATAGGTTGTTAATCTTTACTGGCATCACATGATTTTAAGCTGCAGTTTCATTTTGACAACTGATGCTTCTCAAACTAATGGATTTTAAATTGTACCTTAAACCAAATTTCTCTCATCTATCATCCAACACTAAACTCATTTAGTGGGACTTACCATGTGTTAGCAATTATGCAAAATGATTTTAGTAAAAAGTTAAAAGTACTGAACCTTTTGGCATCAAATAGTTTAAATTCGATTCCTGAGTTTATAGCTTGCAAAACCCGTTTCTGAAAATGATGGAGAAAGAAAGTGTCATGATCACTCATAAATAATATGCATATGCATGTAATATATGTGAGAAGAAGAAGAAGAAGCAATTTTCACATGATTGAAAGGATGGGGCCCCACTTAAATGATAAATCATTTGATTACTGTGAAAATTAGAGATGAAAGATGAAAATTTGACATTTATTTCTGTTTGACTACAGATTCAGTACTGCCCAGAAATTGGATAAACTTGGAATGCGAGGAAGTGATACGTATGTGCGCATGTTCTGTGAGAAATTTTCAACATATAATCCATTTTCAATCACTTTCCCTTACTTTTGCTGATAAAATGGAATTCTGTGGGCAGATGTGAGCTTGTCTTCGAGAATTGCTTTGTTCCAGAAGAAAATGTTCTCGGGAAAGAAGGGAAAGGTCTTGCAACTTCTTTTGCACTCTTCTATATTATTTTTAAAATGAAATCATCTTTATGTTGGTATAATGGACTCATTTGGATAATGAACTTATTTATAAGTTATTTTTTAAACTTTTTTTTTTAATGAAAAATTTATTTTGTATTTGGATTTAATCTTTAAAAAGCACTTATATTAAAAAGCACTAATATTTAAAAAATACTTGTATTTTCACTTTCAGAAACTCATTTTAAAATGAATCTGAACAGGTTCATATTCCCACGTCGATATGCTCAAATTGATCTATCATGTTAGCCTATCTCTTCTTTACCATTAATGTGCAAACATTTGAAGAAATAGAGAAAATAGTATATTTCTTATGTTCTTACCTTTGTTACTTCTAAGTTCGGAATCAGAATTTTGTTATTATTGGCTCCACTTTCCAAGCACACTTGATATATAAATTTATGTAAATTAAAAGAAACTCTCTAAATTTGGGCCACTAATTTTCCTTTCTCTTTTTACAATGTAAATACTAATAAAAAGAAAAAAGTTTGTTGCATGTCAAGTGTCAGCCATTACCGCTTATTCTTTCTGTTTCAGGAGTCTATGTCATGATGTCTGGGCTGGATCTGGAGAGACTTGTTTTGGCAGCTGGTCCTCTGGGTATTATGCAGGCATGTCTTGATGTTGCCCTTCCTTATGTTCGACAAAGAGAGCAATTTGGTCGTCCTATTGGGGAGTTTCAGTTTATACAGGTTTGTTATGCTCAACATATTTTTTGCAATTATCAAGTATAGTATGTGTCTTAGCCAATCACGTTGTCAAACGATTTTTGGTTACAGGGGAAAATTGCTGACATGTATACTTCATTACAGTCCTCAAGGTAGAAGATTCTAATGTTGCTCTTTTCACTTAGTAAATAAGTTTGCATGGCAGTCGATAACATTCTTCATTTCAGGTCTTATGTGTATTCTGTAGCTCGAGACTGCGACAATGGAAAAATTGATCCAAAGGTGCGTCCACATGCCTTTATCTTGTGGTTGAAAACTTGAAATAGTACTATTAAGGTTCATCATTTGGTTCTTTAAATGTACTTTTTCTGTTTATGAAACTACATCCATATTTTTTCATGGATTACACATATTGCATGAAATGATTAACTTTGGTTTTTGATTTTTATTTTTGTGCCCTCTTTTTAACCCTGTTTATTTGTTTTGGCCTTTGGGTCCATTTTTGCGCTGTATAACATGAATGCAGTGTGCAACTGCAGTGCATCTGTGAGTAGTACTGTAATGATGCTGTCATGATATGGTATTAGAAGTGTCAAATTATAATTCTTGGAAAATTTATGTTTTCTGTGTTTGTTTTAAACTTGATCGTAAATTTATGCTAAGATTTTGGTTCGTTACAATTTTACTGGCCTCAACCCTGGTCCTCAATCTAACAAACTTAAAGATTTTCTGTTTTTCACCATGGTTGTATGCCTATTCATTTCGTAAAACATGCTGTCTTGACTACTGATTTCAGGATTGTGCTGGAGCCATACTTTGTGCCGCTGAAAGAGCAACCCAGGTTGCTTTGCAGGTAAATAATTTGCTTGCATCGGTTATAGTTGCTGCTGCTGTTCCTTTTTTTCACATTTTTAATGCTTATCCCCACCAAATTTTCAGGCCATACAATGTTTAGGTGGGAATGGCTATGTGAATGAGTATCCTACTGGTCGTCTCCTGAGAGATGCCAAACTCTACGAGATTGGGGCAGGAACAAGTGAGATCAGAAGAATGATTATCGGACGTGAACTCTTCAAGGAGCAATAACATGTGATGACACCATACCTTACATGATGCCAGTCTTTTAATAAATCTTGGATGCTGCTGAGCCCCTGGTTGCAGATGTCTGTGAAACTAATGTTACATTCATCAAACGAGAATTGTAATCACGATAATTGATCATTGGTCCAAGAAATAAGAATTTCTGTATCATATTTTTATATATTTTGAAAATCTTCAAATCGATAATTTCTCTCGAAAAACAATTCTGTAAAAGAAATTAATTCCTACATTACAGTAATGTGTTAGGGCCTTAGGGGCATGTAAAGCTGAAATAACGTGATAGATATTGAATAACTATTTCATGCATTTTCTAATGAAAATTTATACTAATTGATTCGTAACTAGAGTGCATTTCTCAAGTTTTTGCCTAAATATTTGTACCTTCAAACCCGCATCACATCTCAAATAGGTTCCTAACAGTGGTAGCAATATTTCGCAACCATGCATGGAAGACTTGGAAACCATCACCATTATTCCAGTGTACGTAACTCAAGCCATAATGGCTTATTATATGATGCCAAGACCCTTATTTAGCTACTTTAGTGCACTTAATTGTCAGTCTTTCTAGCGCTGACCATGCAATTTTGCTGGGCCTACAAACTCAAAGGGTAGTAACCAAACACAGCATTAAACGTGTTGATTAATCTTGTACAGAGACAGGACCAACATAATAAATATTTAAGACAACCCTGAAACTTAGACTCTAACTGCCGTGGGAGAATAATCTGGCTGACCCACTGAGGAAGACTTTGAAGCCTCCATAATCACTGGTGCCTCTTCCAAACAGCTATGAGTATCATCACTGATCATCCCAATTGTCATTTTTTCCACTTCTTCTTGGGTATATATATGGATCTTAGACACCACATCACAAAACTCACTGCAACCATAGGAAACATGCAAATTCTTTTAGTGTCACCTAGAAAGTACATCACATTAACTTGACACTAGATAGCTCACATAAAGAATAGAGTACAAGAGTTAGCAGTTTCTGTCTATCCTATTAGAGTACATGTTGAGACAGGTGATGATTATTGATAACTAATTATAAGTTGCAAAAGTAGCATTCTTTAAAGTGTTGATTTGAGTTGAGTCCATGAAGAAGAATACTTACTGCCATGGGTCATCCCCCACAACCATTATGTCATTCTCACTGTCAGTGTAGAGAATCCTCCATCCCTTATCAGGATCTTTTAGAAGGCCTTCCATGCCAAACAGTCTCTCTAGTTCACTCAGCAGATCATTGTAGCCGCTCAGTCTTGAAAGATCAATAGCTCTTCCAACTAAGCTGCCTTGCTTGTGAACCTTCATTTAGTGTATGTTACATAGGTGGGTAAAACTTCAGAGAGAAAAAGGCATATCATAACATAATTTTGTTGTTATCATCCCTCACCTTTGTGCAGCTCCTTTTAGCAGAGTTCGGTAAATTCTGGGTAGCAGCTTCCCCAGACAAATGAAACCCGAATAGTTTGCAGCCATTTACCTTTCCCTGGGCATTGTTGTCACTAGGAACCCCCATATTTGGAGCCCCCAATGAAGCAGCAGCAGCAGAAATATTGTCCTGCAGCTTATGTTCATTTGGGAGATCTGATCTTCCAACTTCATTTACAATTATCCCTCCCTGAGTTGGTGGCTTGTTAAATGGGGCATTCTCTCTCTGAAAACCGGTGGGTTTTGAGCAAAACAAGCTAGTTTGACCAGGTTGGTGAATATCCCCATAAGGAAAAAGTGCAGATTGAAAGTTGGGTTTGGTTGCTTGATGGAGGTTGAAAGTTGAGCAACTTAGATTGGGCATTCCCCAAGCACCAAGGTTCAAATCAACATTTCCAGTCAGGGATTTCAGTTGACATATTTCTTGACCTTGCAAGACCCTTGGAAACCTGTTAGTTTCCACAAAGCTTGCATAACTGAAAGGGTGAACACTACTAAGCTCAGAAGTGGTGACCTTTCTTACTTCAGCTGATGCAAGATTTGGATGACTCGAAGAGTTCATCTCAAAACCTGGTGGCTTGGTTACTGCATCACATCCGTAGTAGAGTGACACAAAACCTGCATTTTCTTGACCTTGCAAGACCTTAGGTGATCTTACAGACTCCTCAAAGCCCACCAACCCACTGCCTCGTGCTGCTACACGAAACAAACAAGATGTTGATCAGGATATATCAAGTTAACAATCACTATGGACTTATGGTCTATTTGGAAAGATAACTTAATTAAGGTCTTATTGAATAGGTACTTATTATGTAAGTAATTAATATTATGTATAAGTTGTTTTTATAATAGAAGGTGAAGTGGAGTTATATAAAATTTGTTTTCATAAGCTATTATGGAGAATTATCGAGAGTCTATTTAGATATTAGTTTAGAAGAGTTTTTTTTGGAAAACTTCCCTACTATTAAAAACTATTTGTTCTTAGTAGAAAAACTCTTAGAAACAATTCTATGTTTGTATTCGAACAGATTCATAAGCTGAAAATTGCTTATGAACACATCACAAGTTGTTTTCATAAGCTCTCTCAAAGTTTTATACAAGTGCTTATGCCATAAGATAAATCCAAAAAAACTATAAATAAACTTTTCCAAATGGGGCCTAATTCTAGTTTAGTGTTAGGACTCGTACCAGTGATGAGGTGACTAGGTGAGGCAACCTGTAGACCTGTCCGCAGTTTCTTCAGTCTTGGGGAAGACTGAATGCTCAAGGGGGGGAGAGGAGCAGAAGGATCAATCTCCCATGGAGATACGCGGTCTTGGTGATTAGTCTCAATATCCTCATCCCATCTGACCTGTTGCATGTCACAGAAGGCTTACATTAATGAAGGGATCATCATGACCAAGTGGTCATTAACTCGGCTCGGTTCATAAATGTTAGCTTGATAGGTGGATTGCAAATGCAACCTTCATGTTGAAGAGCATCTCTTTGATATGATATATGTAAAACAATTTAAAGTGAGATACGAAAAATGTGCAAGCAAATATTACGTATAAAAGTTGGGGAAATGGAATTAGATTTTTATGTGTATGTGAGGTTCACAAAGAAAATGGCTTCACAGTAATATGCCTTTAGAACTTCTTTCAATTCTTCATGTATTTCTCAAAAACTGCAAACTACAATATGAAGAGATAAAAACATGTGAATTCAGCCTCATTAATTAAAATCCGGTTGATAGATCATATGCTTCAATGGCAAATTTGGGGAGCATACAAAACCGAAGTAAATCCAATGCTAAATGTATAAATGTGGTAAAAGAGTACTGCATAGTAACAAAGCAAAATTGAAAATGTACCATCAAGCACCTCCATTTTGATTTAGGCCATCTATAGGGATCCAAATCACTCGTTCCAATCAAGGTGCCACTACTACACCTGCAATATACCAATATGTCACACGCAAAAACCTTTTTGGACAAAGACATAGGAGTAAAGATTTATAACTATTTGTAGTCTACCTCCTTTCTTGAGATTCGTCCATTTCCAATCTTATTTTGAATCTTGTCCCAATGCTCACTGGATTATTGATGCTCTTAACATATTTTTGGTAAGGAACAACAAAATCTGCGTGACTTGCCCTGTATTATATCAAATTCAAAAACATTACGAATTTGTTGCTAGTGTCACACAAGAAACCAAAGAGGGAAGAGATTACATATCAACAGAAATTAAAGATTATGGTAAAAGGTTTCATTTCTAAGAAGGCCTATCAGAGGAGAAAAGCTAGTTAAGTAAGCTGCCAATATATTATCATCTGAGTTTCTAGAAAGGACACGGCCATTTCTGTCTAAATCAAAGTGTTTCCTATTCTTCCATCCACATCATTGGAGTGTTTCACACAATCCATTCTTCTAAGTACTTCATAGACAAAGTGCTGCAATACCTACACACTTACAGACATATCAACTCAAATCTATTTAGTTTTTACCATGTGATTACTGTTAACATTTATACAAAATAAAGTAAAAGAATAAAATTTAAGTGCCCTTTCTTTAATTAAAAGTAAAAACAAAAAGATATTTTTTCAAAGTACAACATGCCCTTGTGTTGCCCAGCCAAAATTTAAATCTAAGGACAAATAATTGCAGTGTAAACTTCATACATCTTACAAAGCAAGAAGACATGAACAGTCAGTATTAGTACCTTGGACTGTAGAAAACATGAAATTTGCTTTTGGTGGATATTGCATTTGCCACAGAAGAAAGGACATTGGGGTAACAGTTCTGGCTACCGATAATTGATTCAGGAAGTTCATTTCTAGGTCGAACAGCTCTTCTGATTCCCAATCTCAGTTCACCATTTTCACCCCTACAAAGGCATTATTAATAAGCAATTAGGATCTGAAAGGTACTTTAATGACCGATCGATAGACTCTTCTTTCTCTGCCACTAGATAGTTAGAATTTCAAGTTTCATTTAATTGGCTTCCAAAAGATATTATTACTCATTTTTCTTGCTTTCAAAATTTGGTAAGACTTAAATTCTTGATTCTCATGTAAAAGGGCCATCAATTTTGACTTTGAGTTAGGTTTTGTAAATTGTAAGTACATATATTTGCTTTGTACTCCCCTTTTGGCACTTTATGGTCTCTATCTAAGACAATGCAGCTCCTCAATAGTAAAATACAACGTTAAAAAATTATTATTTAGTATTAATAGTTCGTGATTAGATCATATAGCCTTTTTCTCATATGAATGTTACAACATAAGAAACTATTAGGTGTTCAAATAAAAAGACGAAGTTAATAACATCCATGTTTATTTTTTGGCATCTGACAATTACTTTCTACTAAATTATTGGAAGACCATTATTAATAATTAATAATTGTACGTGAGACTGATCCACGTTTAGGAGCTTTAGAGGTTGCTCCTCCTAGTCAACAATATAAGAATTAATGTCAATTAAAACGTCCAGTTCAACACACGCACACGCCAAGGATTCTTGGGTGCAGCAAGAGATTTTAATCTCTCTCTCTCTCTCTCTCTCTCTCTCTATATATATATATATATATATATATGTTTGTATTAAAAACTTGGTTAAAATAGGAGACAATCATGAATCACAGCTGAGGTGACAAAGATGTATTTCAAAAAAGAAAAACATGCTTCGAGAGTAGCTAAAACTTTTTCCATACATAAACTAACAGTTGATAGATATATACCTTAGAAAGAGCACTGCATCGCCAGAAACAAGATTCTTTTGGCTCACAAAAATACTCCAACCAGTAGTGAGTAGATGCCTTCTTGGCTGACCTGACATATTACCACATCGATTTTGTGTACCAATTAGTGTCTGTTTGCTTTAGTAGAATTGACTTTGAACAGTTGAACATGATTTAGATGTCTATCTAAATTAATTTTAGCCACAGATTTTATCTTGGAACATGTTACAGTGTGATAAATTGATTCTCAATGTAAACCAAATGGGGGCCTTAGTCAATATATGAAGATTGAAGTCACACTTCACACCTTGTTTTTCTAATTGCATTACCTCTGTAAATGTGACGAAATTTCCACTCCACACCATGCAGGTCTTTGGCAACAAGCTCTTGTGAGGGCCTCTGCTGCTTATAATCCTGTAGCAGTAAAAGTAAAAGGAATAATTCACCAAGTTAAGCAAGGCTATTAAGTCAAACTTTGGTCTTTTCAGATAATCTTCTCCATGAACACATATAAGAAAGTAAGAAGGTAAAATGAACTAAACTTATCTCGCAAGTTAAAATCAAGCATTTTAACTTTTTACATAAGTTCTCTTATCTAACTTTTTCAAAAGCCAAAGTACATAAGTTGATTTTAATTTACAGAAGAAGTTTGATTCTTTTTACTTTTAATTTTTCTTCTTTAGAAGTGTTTATAATTATTTTTATGCTGTGAAAGATGTCACACCAAAGGAGGAAAACAGTCTTCAGCAGCTCTACGAGGAACAGAAAAGCCCCCATGTGTGCTGGTATCAGAGGCAGTTAGTGTTTTGCAGAACATGTGAGGGGTTGATTTAGTTGGTGATCTTTCATCTCCCTCCTCTTCTGCTCCCAATTCCTCAAGTTCTTTGCCCTCTGAATGCATCCCTTCCAACTGAAAAGAGTCCAGTGTAAAGAGTTACTAATGTTATGCAGCAAATGAACAATTGGTGCATCATTTAACATTTCAAGCTCATAGAGACAAATATTCCTTCTTCTAATTAAACAATGAAAGAAGCTTAAGAATTGTCTACTTCCCCCATGAAGAAGCACCAAATTTCAACCATGACAAATTAGAAACACACCAAAACATAAACAACTTCAAAGTTCAAACGAAAACAAACCTCAGCCTGAGGAAGCAAAGTAACCTGTGTATAAACCTCATCATTCTCCTTGTTGGCCTGTTCAAGGAAGTGACAATTTAGCAAAACCAAGTGAACAATAGAGCCAATGAAAGGGCCAAGTAAAATGATGACATCTTACATGAAATTCAGTAAACACAAGTGAATCTAAGAGGAGAATTGAGTACTCACAAGTAGTTGGACATTGACAACCCTGCAAAAGATCTGTGGATGGAGATCATAGGTGGGAATCTCCATTGGTGTGAAAGGAGAGAAAGAGGCAACCTGTTCTAAGTGACCTTGTGGAAAATAGACCACCACATTTCCCTTCCTGGGAAGAGAGGTGAGAGGGCCAGCGCAAGCATGCCAAAGCTCAAGGTAAGAAGAGGACACATGAGCTGAAGAGGAACTAGATGATGAACAAGTTGAAGAGGACCAACCACCAGCACCACCACCTTTCTCACATTCCCCATCACAGAGTGCATTATTCTCAACCTCGGTCACTTCATGGTTCAGATCAATTTCCATGAACACCTAGTGGTGTAGGCTCTTGAGAGACTCAAATGGAAGCAGCTAGAAAATTCACAACTTGAAAGGAGGCAAAGAGTGTTTCACCACCAAGTGGAATTAAGAAAAGGAAACCCCAGAAAGTGGAAAGTATAAATAGCATAGAAAAGAGGCTAAATTATGAAAAAAGAATTCATATTTGGAGGGGCAGCACACTACAGTGATAAATCAAGGGAAGGATGAAGAGAAAAGAACAAGAAAAGTCATGTTCAGAAGAGAGGATTTAAAGATAAGAAAAGAAGGATATTAAATAAGAAGAAGAAATTCAACGTATGATTCCACCCCCATTTGAAGGTACTGAGAAGGGGGAGCAGAGGCAGCAGACATAGACAATTGCATAGGAAGCACATAAACAAAAGGCAAGAAAAGCCAATGTGGTAGTGGCTTTTGGATTTAGACTGTTAAGAGTCATAGAGATAGAGAGAGAGAGAGAGTGTGTGTGTGTTGGGTGGGGGGGACAGGCTAAGACAGTACAGAACCCACACTCCCCCACTCTCACTCTCCTTTGCCTTTTATTTTCTTTATTCATAATGTCTTTCACTGTGATTGATTGAGATTTGAGGCCCTCTCTCTGGACAACATAAGTTAATGTATAAGATAAATAAACAAACAATCATTAACAAGCTTTCTTTCTTTCTCTCTTTCAACTTGCATCGAAAAAAGACAATTCCAAGGGAAACACAACCTAGTTTGTTGAATTTCAAGGCATGTGTAAACAGAAATGTTGAGGTAAAATAAATACTTGGTGTATATTGTATAGTATTATGTCGATAAAATATGCATTAATTAGAAAGATAGTAATGGTTTGTTGATTTGATATGATTTGGAGGCGTGTAACATGAATATCCGACAAGTGGAGATATAGGTACAGGGGTTCATTTAGTAATAAAAAAGAGAGAGTGAGACTGTGAAAATGCAGTGTGGTGTTGGTTTTGGCAGCAACTGTCCTGGACTCAGTTTAGTTGTCAAGGACTCACAACCCTTTACAACACATCTCAATTCTCCAGTCTTGTCACCCTTCCCTTCTAGTCAAGTGAAATGAAATCTAGGCCTCTCAAATTGCAAGGAAACAGCCACACTATCTCTTCTTCATCTCTGATATCAGGGTTTCAGTAATTGGGTCCTTCAGGATTTGAGTAACTGATACTTTTTTTTTTATAATATTTTTATAATTTAGTTTTTGAAATTAGAGGTTTGTGGACAAAGTGTAAAATTTGACACAATTAAAGTTATGTTCCACAAATAGTGAGTAGTTTTAGTTATTGACTTTGAGATATTAAATCAATCATTTTATGAATTTTTTTTATAGAATTTAATAAAATATTATTTATATTTTAATACTTAGATAGTCACATCGTATTATATTTTAATACTTAGATAGTCACATCGTAATACTTAGAATATAACGAAATATTATTTATCAAGTTTTCCAATTGTAAATTGATGTCTAATTCTAAAAACTTAAAAATATAAAAAAAAATTAATGATATAATTTTAGTTTGACTCCTTTGAAGAATTATTTGTATTTTTTTTTTTACCATAATTTTATAATTAATAATTTAATTTTTAAGTTTCCTTTATTGTCAAAGATTTTTAAAGAGACGTAATTAGTTAGTTGAATAAATAGTATAAATTATTGTGAAACTTCTATTATCGAATTCAATTATGATATGTAAAAATAATTGTTAAAAATAGGTATATATGGAAATATTTTATATATTATTTTTAATTTTTATCATTATATATTGTGTCATTTAATATCACACTACTCAAGTAGTAATAATATCACAAGATAATGTTAAAATTTAATGATCAACTAACACTAAATTAATGAAAAAACTAAAATTTCCTATTTTAAAAGATATGAAAACTAAATATTTCTATTTTAAAATAGAGAGATTAAAATTACATATTAACAAAAATAAAAGAATTAAAAATACAATTTAATCTATATAAAAAATTAGTTTAGTTTTAATGCTAATGAACTTAACTTTTGTGGGATTAACCTCAAAGATACTAGCTTTAGTGATACTTTTTATGATTATGTTTTATGTTTTTGTGAATTTTGTTATCTAATTTTCTAACTTTTAAAACTTTACATTTTTTATCTTGTTAATTGACTATTTAATATTGTTAGTTGATTGTTGATGTAACATACTAGTTATTAATGAAATACATTAATTACGAACATGAATCACTAATATGATAAATAAATAATAACATAATATAATATACAATGTAGATAGTTAACATGCTTTGTTAGCAATAAGTGTCCTCTCAATAATTAATAACAAAGTTGGATAACAAAATAATAAAATAATAAAATATGTAAATTTTGAAATTTAAAAAATTGGATTAAAAAATGAGTTAATCACTTATACACTGTCAATGTAAAGTTTTTTTACATTAATAATTAATTATATTTTTTAATTATGTCATATTACTCATGATATAATTAAAAAATATAATTGATTATCAGTGTAAAAAATTCGTAAAATTACAATTAAGTCCAAATTTGTCGGTTAAAAAACGAGTCTTCACTTTCGTCGATATGAGCTTGGGTCAGACCAAGTAGACTGACTTTGACCCCAAAATAAAAAGTTAAGAAAGACATTAGCTAGTCTAGTTTGCACCAATACCAGGATTACCTCTAATCAAATTCAACAAGTTTACCCATGTCCCATTTAGTTTCAGTCATTATCAAGTGGAGGAAAATTTAACTTTTTATGATAAATAGAAATAGTAAAATAAATTTTTAATTATATAAAAATAATTTAATTTGCTCCCTCAATTTCTTTTTTATAGTTTTAGTATCATCATTTTTATTTATTTTTAAATAGTTTGTATCTCTATTAGTTTTTTATTTATTTATAAATATGATATGTATTTAAATATATCATGTGGTATCATCATCTTTATTTATTTATATTTAGCTTTTATTTCTATTAGTTTTTTTTATTTATAAAATATGACATGTATTTAAATATTTCATGTCACACGTTACTTTATAATGGTTGTTGATGTAACACGTTTAAATGTATTTTATATTAGAACAAATAACATGTATAATATTTTATATTATCACATCTAATCACAAATGTATAATAAATTTATTAATTTTTGTAATATTTATATTTAAATATATTAAAACTAATTTTATATTGATGAACAGTACAAAACATTTAGATCAATAGTGCATTTTTTTTTTACATAAATAATGCATCCCTACTTTAGTAGATTAATTCTTCATAGAGACTATCTTAAATTTTTTTTTATAATTATTTAAATAAAAAAATCATGTAATAATAATGTTTTTCTTTCACAATGAAAAAAATATTTTTTTAATAACTAAAACGGCACTTTTCTATAATTTCGTTCTCCCTCCTAGAGCATCATTTGTACAAACAAATTATATATTTATTGTCCTAAATATATACAGAATCAAATAATGCCAATAATTCTTCAAACAGAAATATTTCTAAAATTGCTCATAATTCTAAGGGGTTCTTCCTCTACCCAATTCCCTCATGTAACTCTATATATAAATAATTC